GCCCAAAGTAGTAGAGACAAAGTCTGGCCATTCTGACTTCTAAGGAGCATTCTGGCTATACTTCCTCCACCACAGATTTGTTTCTTCTACTATGGTAGAACATTCCATGGTACATTCAATAATCTTCAGCTACACCATAATTCAAATGCATTGATTCTTCTGTGGTCTAATTAATTCATTGTCTGCTTTCACATACATATGAAGTGATAGAAAACACCATGACTTGGGTTTTGTGCACCTTAGTCTTCAAAGAGACATCCCTGCTCTTCAGCACCTTAAAGAGATTTTTCAACAGATTTTCCCTGTGCAATATGTCATTTGTTTTCTTGACTGTTCCCTCCATTGGTGTTGATTATGGAACCAAGTAATATGAAATATTTGAGAACTTTAGTCGTTTCTCCATTTATTGTGATGCTGCTTATTGGTCCAGTTGTGAGGATTTTCATTTTCTTTATGTTGAGGTGTAGTTCATACTGCAGACTGTAGTCTTTAATCTTCATTGGTAAGTGATTCAAGTCATCTTCACTTTCAGCAAGCAAGGTTTTGTCATCTGTATATCGCAGGTTGTTAATGACTCTTCCTCTATTCCTGATGCCATGTTCTTCTTTGTATACTCCAGCTTCTCATATTATTTGCTCAGCATGCAGATTGAATAAGTATGATGAAAGGATACAACTCTGATGCCCTCCCTTTCTGATTTTAAGCCATACAGTATCCCCTTGTTCTGTTTGAACGACAGCATCCTGATCTATTTACAGGTTCTTCATGAGCACAATTAAGTGTTCTGGAATTCCCATTCTTTTAATGTTATCCATAATTTGTTATGATCCACACAATCGAAAGCATTTGCTTGGTCAATAAAACACAAATAAACATCTTTCTGGTATTCTTTGCTTTCAGCCAAGTTCCATCTGACAGCAATGATATCCCTCTTTGATATCATCTTCTGAATCCAGCTTGAATGTCTGGAAGTTTCTTATCAACATACTGTTACAGTTGTTTTTGAGTCTTCAGCAAGATTTTACTTGTGTGTGATATTAATGATATTGTTCAATAATTTCCACATTCTGTTGGATCATCTGTCTTTGGAAGAGGTATGAATATAGAACTCTTCCAGTCAGTTGGCCAGATAGCTCTCTTCCAAATTTTGTGGCATAGAAGAGTAGGTGCCTCCAGTGCGACATCTGTTTGTTGAAACATCTCAGTGACTATTCTGTCAGTTTTTGGGGCCTTTTTTTTTTTTTTTGTTGCCAATTTGTTCATTGCAGCTTTGACTTCTTCCTTTAGTACCATCAGTTCTTGATCATATGCCATCTCCTAAAATGCATGAGTATCAACCAATTCTTTCTGGTACAGTGACTCTTTGTATTCCTTCCATCTTCTTTTGGTGTTTCCTCAAATTTTGCCCATAGAATCTTTCAATATTGTAACTCAAGGCTTGAATTTTTTCTTCATTTCTTTCACCATGAGAAATGCTGAGTGTGTTCTTCCTTTTTGGTTTTCTATCTCCAGGTCTTTGCACATCTCGTTATAATAATTGACTTTGTCTTCTCGAGCTGCTCTTTGAAATCTTCTGTTCAGCTCTTTTATCATGTCATTTCTTCCGTTTGCTCTAGGTACTCTCTGCTCAAGGGCAAGTTTCAGAGTCTCTTCTGACATCCATTTTGGTCTTTTCTTACTTTCTTGCTTTTTTAATGACCTTTTGCTTTCTTCATTGATAATGTTCTTGATGTCATCCCACAGTTCCTCAGTATTTCGGTCATTAGTGTCCAGTGCATCAAATCTGTTCTTTAGTACATCATTAGTGTTCAGTGCATCAAATTTAGATGGTCTTTAAATTCAGATAGAATAGAATCAAGGTCATATATTGGCTCTCATGGACTTGTTTTAATTATCTTCAGCTTCAACTTGAAATTGTATATGTGCAGTTGATGATGGTCTGTTCCACAGTTAGGTCCTGGCCTTGTTTTGTCTAAAGATACTGAGCTTCTCCATTATCTCTTTCCACAGATACAGTTGATCTGATTCCCGTGTATTCCATCTGGTGGAGTCCATGTGTATATCTGCCATTTATGTTGTTGAAAAAAGATATTTGCAATAAATAAGTCATTGGTTTTGCAAAATCCTATCATGTGATCTCTACTGCCATTCCTATCACCAAGGCCATATTTTCTAACTACCAGTGATTCTTTGTTTCCAACTTTTGCATTCCAATCACCAGTAATAATCAACGTATCTTGATTGCATGTTTGGTCAATTTCAGACTATAGAATTTGGTAAAAATCTTCCATTTTCTCATCTTTGGCTTTGGTGGTTGGTGTGTAACTTTGAATAATACTAATGTTACTGTATAAAACAGAGGTTTAGAACAGAATTAGTGTTATTATTGAATAATAATAGTACTATGGTCTTCCTTGTAGCCATATGGATATTATCCTATCACTGACAGCATTGTACATCAGGATAGATCTTGAAACATTCTTTGTGATGATGAATGCCACTCTGTTCCTTTTCAATTTGTCATTCCCAGCATAGTATGTCAGATAATTATCTGATTCAGAATACCCAACACCAGTTCATTTGAATTCACTAATGCCTAGGATATCAATCTTTATGTGTTTAATTTCATTTTTGACACCTTCCAACTTTCTTAGGTTCATACTTCATGCATTCTGATTTCTGATTATTAGTGAATGTTTACAGCTGTTTCTTCCCATTTTGCATCATTCCCCATCAGGAAATGAAGGTCCTGAAAGTTTTATTCCATCCATGTTATTAAGGTCGACTTTACTTTGAGGAGGCAGCTCTTCCCCAGTCATATTTTTGAGTACCTTCTCACCTAAGGGTCTCATCTTCTGGCATTATATCAGACAGTGCTTCAGTTTTCCAGTATGTATCAGACAGTGTTTTACTGCTATTCATAAGGTTTTCTCTGGTCAATACTTTTAGAAGTGGATGACCCCTTCCTTCTTCCAAGTCTGTCTTAGTCTGGAATCTCCAATGTTGATTCTTCCTCAGGGATGTGTTCTGGGTCTATATCCTGCTCCCTTTTTTCTATCACTTTATCTTGCTTCTTTGTCTTGACTGTGATGGTCTGTTTTCTCTGAGACATCATGGCATTGTTGTGTTTAGATCTCCATTAACTGTTTGTGAAGAGCAGCCAAGGGTGAGACAGGTGCTTCTTGGTGGTTTTTATCATTGGTCCCTTGGTTGAGAAGGAAGTGGTGGCTCTCACTCAGAAAGTCAATCTGCAAGAGGTGTGGATGTAATTGTGTTGTATGGGGACTGTTGCTGCCTTCCACTCAGACAAAAATAACAATTGAATAACCATCAAAAAATTAAAAGCAAATGGACAAAAAATACACCGTGTAATCACACAAGAACCATAACCCAGAAAAGAAAAAAGGGAAAATGAAAAAAAAAGAAACAACATCTGCAATATCTGGGGAAAGACAATAAGAGAATAAAGGTAGAGAGAGAGATAATGAAGAAAAAAATGGGAAAAACACAAAAAGATAAAACAAGGAACATGGTTAACCACGAGAAAGAAAATAAAAATTGCAACCAGGAACAGGGAAAAGAACAAAAGCTGAAAACTAGAACTTGGGATGGGAAGAATAAGGAATAATAGTTAAAAGGACAAAAGTAATAATAATAATAGTAGTTTTAAAACAGACAAAAGCAAACTAAAAAACAGAAGAAAGAAAATAAAGAAATTGGGGTAGGGCAGTGCAGGGCACCCACACTCCATCTAAGCACGCAGCCTCGGATGAAATTCCTGCCAGGCCAGAAGGTGGGTGGGAGTGAGGGATGGCTGCACTGCTGTTCATCAAGAAGGTGTAGAGTATAAGTGTATCAAGGGGAATGTCACGCCTTTCCAGTTGTCATGTCCAGAATGTCCTTGAGGTTCCTGGCAAGTGGAGCCTGTTCTTAAGTCCCTGGAATCTGGGAGAATGCTGTCACGTTAAATATCCAAAATGGTCAAACCGCTTGTAAACATTCAAAATGGCTGTGCCTCCGGGACCCGCAAAAATCCACAGCTCAGCCTGCCTTCCTCTTTCCTGTTGCCCCTTTTATTCCTCAGCGGCCAGAGTAGTCCTCTGTGCAATCCCTGACTAGCAGGGGTGATTTTTAGGTTAATTCTTAGGTCCTACCACCGCTTGGCAATTTCCAAGCTGTCTGTGCTGTGGGGATTGCTACCAGACCACAGTTCCACATGTCTCTATTTTTGGTGTTTTCATGCAAATTCTTTGGTAATTGGAGTTTATTCTACTTCTATATCCTTCCCTTCAAGGCTCAGGGATCCAGGATTATCTTCTTTATCTGTGTTAATTGGTTCCCCTTTTCTTTGTTGAAGAGGGTCTGTGCAGTCTTTCTGCCTATTACACCATCTTACCTGAACTCCCTCCTGTATAATTTTTATGAACATAATTAATCTGAATATCTTCCTTACATAACCTAGAAGTAGAACTTTAAGTTAATAGTAGAAATGCTTACCATAGTCCCTGGTACATTTAGGATTGAGCAGATGTAGGTGTGGAGCTAAATATTGACATTATACTCTATCTGGTATTACATTAAAAGTTCCTTGATCTAAGAATCTAGTTTTCCATTTTTTTCTGATGTATTTATTGCTTCACTAAGTAGACTGCCCTAAAGAAACATGATGTTCAGTAGATGTTGACTAATAGGCTAAGTGACAGTGAAAAATTTAGAACTAGATTTGTAAGGGAATTTTTGTTTTTTGGTACTGAATATCTACCATTGCCGTAAGGAAGGTTGGGCAATCTACTTCTGTAGTGATACCACCTCGGAAACGCAAGGAGGGGTCGCTATGAGTTGGGTCTGACTCAACAGCACATAGCAACAACAACAATAATAACAGCATCTACCATTGTTCTATTTCCAGTTAATGCTTATTTTATGTGTCACTAACTTTTTTCTTTTTGTTTAACAGTTCACTTATATAACAAGGTCATCCATTTGTTCTGAAAAGCATCATGTCTCGGTCACGACAACCTCCCCTTGTGACAGGAATCTCTCCAAAAGAAGGAATTCCATGGACCAAGGTCACAATCAGAGGAGAGAACCTGGGAACTGGTCCAAATGACCTCATAGGTAAGGCCAACAACTGTCTTTGTGCATCCATGGTACACATACATTTATATTGGTCAACTGTGGCAAGATATATTATTTTGAAATTAGGAAGTAGATAGATCACAACACTGTGATTTATATAGAGAAATCTGAATCAAAATGAAAGAATTATTTGTTTCTCTGATTTTTCTGTTAAATCATTATTTTATGAAGGTATGTGCATAGTGCCTTTTACCAAGTTCTGTCCTTCTTTCAGAAAATTTCTTCCATCTGAGAATTGCCCCCATTTCCTCAGCTTTGAATTCTCTAGCTTACAGTGCCAAAGTAGTTTCCTGGCTATTTTTGCTCTCTTTGATTTTCCCTATTTGTATACCTGTCTCTATTCTTTCTCAGGTGCTCTCTGTGAATCTTGCCTTTTCTCTGTTCCTCACTGCTCTTTAGGATCAAATCTAAACCCAGTCTCCCATTGGAGTCAGCACCCCTTGGCTCTGTAGGTGGCATAGTTTCCAGCATCACAGTATCCTGCAAACCACCATAGTATGACAAACAGATAGGTGGTGGATCTTTTTACTTTAACCAAAACCAAACTGATTGACATCATGTTGATTCCGACTCATAGAGACTCTATAGGACAGAGTAGAACTACCCCATGGAGTTTCTAAGGATGTAATCTTTATGTGAGGCATTTTACTTCTTTCTATGAGCCACCCCCCCCACCTTTAAAAAATATTTTATTGTAATTTGGGTGCAAATTTATAAAGTAGATTCATTTTACTCTCAATATTTCATGCACATTTGGTTCATAGCCCCGATTACAATCCTAACAATAAAAGCTCTCCTCCTGCCTCCTCCCTGTGACTGACCTTTCCCTGTGTCTTTTTTATCTATGCATTCCTGTCTGTGCAGCTTTCCCTCGATTCAATTGCTGCCTTTCTGATATCTATACTTGATTGATCTGAGGGGTCCATCTCCCTTGGGTATTTGGGTGCATCTCACTGGGGTAGATGTTCTGCTTGTAGGCCTTTCTAGTCTGACTGAGAGCTAATTCATGGAAGTGAATCCTGTTCCAGGCCCGAAGGATAACCCTCAGCTGTAGTCTTGGGGGTTCCACCAGTCTCTATCTGACCAGTGATTCTGGTCATTTTTATGTTTTTGAATTTTATTCCACATTTTCCTCCCACTCTATCTGGGATCTCCAATTTTGATCCTTTTTCCAGTGGTTAGCATTGGTATGGGCACTCTCAGTTCTGATCTCAGGGTCATGAAGGCTGAGGTCCCTGTGGTCCATTATATCCTTGGATTAATTGTTTCCATATGACTTTGATTTTCCTCACTCTTCTTTGCTGCAGACAAGGGGAGGCCAGTAGTTGCATATTAGATGACTGCTCAAAAGATTTCAAGACCCCAGTCGCTACTAACCAAAGTAAGATGTAGAACAAGATTTTTATGTACTATGTGGTGTCAGAAGAGAAGACCAAAGTGGATGACAGAAGAGACTCTGAACCTTGTCCTTGAGTGGAGAATAGCTAAAGCAAATGGAAGAAATGAAAAGGTCAAAGGGCTTAACAGAAGATTTCAAAAAGCAGCTCGAGTAGACAAAACCAATTACTATAATGAAATGTGCAAAGACCTGGAGTCTGAAAACCAAAAGGGAAGAACAC